GTAGGTAAATAGAGGTTTGAAACCGCCAATGCTGGACAGACTGGCAGCAAATGGAAATGAGGACGGAAAACAGATGTTTTGATAAGCCGATGTCTTCATTCTTGTTGAAGAAGTCTTCTTCTGGAGAAATGGGGTTTCTGGTGAATAGGTTACAACTTGGTCAGAATTCTGGTCACCTGGTTTCCACTGCCGAAACCAAACCAAGTTAATATTGATAATGAGATGCATGGGCTAGTAAAATCGGGGTGTAGGTATTCGCATTGAGATGCTCGTTATTGTTTTTCAAACTTTCAGGCATGTTTTTCTACTCGGTTATTATTATTTCTTCAAAGGGTTTGCTCCACAGGCTCTTTTCCAATACATTTGGAGGACGTTCCTTCAGAAATAACCATTCACTACCTTGGGGTACATAATATTTGCATCCGAGATTCAAACTTGATAAGTAGAATTTGGAGCCTCTGGCTCAAAATGAATCTATTGTTTTCAGTTGATTCCGAGAATTAAATATCCTTATTGGGTTTTGAATGTTCGAATAATTAACTTGAACTATTAATTGAATTATTAATCACTCGAAGCATAATTTGTATTGTTTCATATAGACCACCTGACGGCGACTTTAAAGAATTTTTGTTATCATTTAATGGAATTCTTTCTATCATAAATAATGAAACAACAACGCTAGTTATTGGTGGAGATTTCAATATCAATTTCATGGTAAATAATGACAATTTAACACTATTGGAAGACTTGCTTTCCTCTTATGAAATTGATATTAGTTTAAGAATACCAACAAGAGTAAACGCAAAATCTTCGACATGTATCGATAATTTCCTAATTAAGACAAATTACCTCAACGATGTAGCAGTAGTAGACCTAAATTTGTCTGACCATTACTCACAATTCTTGAAAATTGCTTCCAACTTACGAAATGAAGCCAGCAATGAAACAGACAAAAAAAAATTTATCGTCGGGATTTCTGTGATGATAATATACTGAGATTTCGAAATTACTTACAGTGTGAAGACTGAAGCGAAGTATTTGTGCAGCAGTGTCTTAACTTGGCATATGATCTCTTTGTACAACTTCTAACTTATTATTTTGAAATATCTTTCCCATCAAGAAAGGTATCGACTGGACCATTCAGGAAGAAATCTAATTCAAAAATAGTGGTGTCTCCCGAGCTAGAACACCTAAAGAATAGAGTGTCACTGTTCAATAGGCTAGCAAAGCATGATGACAATTATAATGAAATTTGTAGGAAAGTTAACAAGAAATACAGAGAAGAACTACAATCTATGAATAGGAAATATAATGATGAATTGGTTAACAATGCACACAACAAGTCTAAAGTAACCTGGAGAATTATTAATGACCTACAAAAGAAACAATCCAATAAACATGAACTGGTTTTAGTTGAAAATAGTATACAATATACGGGTGAAATATTAGCGGAAAAACTCAATGCTCACTTTACGAAGCCGCTATCGGAAAATTTCTCAATAGATACCGGATTTCTTGACAATAACATCCCACTCAATTCCCACACTTTTTTTATGTCTCCCATCAATGAGAGGGAATTGATACAGTTCATGAATAGACTGAAAAACACAAATGCATGCGGGATAGACCAAATATCAAACTGGTTGATCAAATGTTGCTCATCTGAACTGTGTACTGTACTCACCTTTGTAATAAATCTATCAACAGAAAAAGGCATTTTTCCAAATAATCTGAAATTAGCCAGTGTGACGCCTATATATAAAAAATCTGTTTAAAATCTGTTTTTTCCGTTGACCAGCTGTCGTACCCCTACGAACGACAACCCTACGAAACTTGTGCGAGCTAAGGATTAACGAGGTCATACCTTTTAACGTGTGATTCCTAACACGGGGGATAAAAATTATTTGAATAACTACAGAGCAATCAGTATTCTTTCTAGCATTTCTAAACTATATGAAATGAATCTAAAAGAGCAGTTGAATGGTTATTTTACTGCGATGAAATTATCATCACCATCACAACATGGTTTCACGATTAACAAAAACACTGATACAGCTCTTTGCGACTTTCATAGTCGAATAATAACGGCCTTGGACGAAAAAAAATATGTGCTAGGATTGTTCATTGATTTTTCACGTGCGTTTAATTGTATTAATCACAGCCTCTTGCTGGTAAAACTCTCGAGATATGGGGTGAGAGAACTTATATTCTCCCAATTTTCACTATTTGTCTCCTATTTTTAAGATAGGAGGTCAATAAATTAAGTTCTGATACACATTGCTGATGGTGTGCCTCAGGGATCCATTTTGGGACCTTTTCTGTATTTAGTATTTGCAAACGATCTATTAGTGTATCTAAATGGAAATTCTGCCATTCACTGTATATGTTACGCTGATGACACGAATATACTAGTTATTGAAGATGACCTAAACTCTGTTATAAATATAGCTGAAACCACTTTCAGTAGAGTCATCACTTGGTGTGAAAAAAACAACTTGATAATGAATAAAACAAAAACTAGTATGTTGCAATTCATGGTACGACGACCATGAGGTGAGTCTATACGAGAATACCGAATTACAATTGGACCCCACAACAACAACTAAATTGTTAGGAGTTACCTTTGTTAACAACTTGCAGTGGAAGCCACAAGTCACTGCAGTTAAGAGATTCTACTAACGCTTTATTATGCGAATTTTAATTCTCACCTCAGGTATGGGATACTGAACTGGGGCACAAGCTCCTCTGTGGATCGAGTGTTTATGATACTGAAGTATGCAGTAAGGATCATTGCTAAGTTAGGATTTAGAGAGTCCTGTAGGGGAGAATTTCAGAAGGTAAAAATGTTAACAGTTGCAGAAATATACATACTTGAGTTTTGAATATCAGGGATGCAAACTGTATAACAAACTTCCCGACGACATTAAAGTTTCAGGAAATGT